GTGTTGCTGGTGTTGCTGGTGTTGCTGGTGGTGGTGCTGAAGCTGCAGATGCTGATGCTGAGCGTCGGGCTGCGAGGCTGGATCAAAGGCGGCGGTGGGCTGGGACGACGAGGCAAAGAGGCCCGCGGGTGCTGCTGCCAGGTAGGGCGATGTGGACTGGCTGGACGCGGCTAGGCCTGCTTGTGCTGGCTCGACCTGCATTGTGGGCGATCAGGCGTGCCGGAGCGATGAGGGCGAGGGTATATGCGATGGTGGACGGTGATCACGACGATGAGGTTGACGAAGCGGTGGTGAAGGAACGGCCGTATGGAGTCAGTATCAAGGCTCGATGGAAGCGGTGGCCGAAAAGGGAAAGACGAAAGCGAAAGGAATGGAGGAAAGGATGATGGAGAGATGGAGAGGGCGAGGTGCAGCTAGAGTTTGGGCTGAGTGGACTGTGGTGCGCATGCGGTCTCTTCATGCACGAGGTTTCTCTGGAGAGAGAGATACACTGTAGGATGATGGACCGAGTGCATGCAGTGTGGAAATGAGCGAGGGCAGAGCGCAGGCGGCAGACGCAGGGGCGAATACACGGCGAATGGGGGCGAAAGAGGCGAGGAGAACAACACGGGAGGGAGGAGGAAGAGGAGGAGGAGGAGGAGGGCTTCATGCGGGAAGAGCCAAATGCGCCTGGGCTGGAAGCGGGTTCGGAGGGAGAGCAACTTACGCACCGAAGGCTGCAGCGGTGTTGGCCGTATGCAGTTGGAGGGAGCTTGCACGCGGCTTGGCTTGGTAGTCCGAGGGCCAGGGCGGCAAAGGAAGGATAGCGCGGCGGGTGGCGGGGGAGGGTGTTTACAGGCTGGCTGCTGCGGTCGGAGCTGCGGATGGTAGGCGGCAAGTGATGCGCGCGGTTGGCGGTGGAGTGCAGTTCAGTGCAGTACGGTGTGGTGTGGCGTGTGAGGCGTTGGGGGTTGGGATGACGAGGATGATGATGGCGATGCGGAGACAAGGCCGAGGCCAAGGCAGAGGCACGCATGGAGCGTTTTCGTGCTTTCTTGCTGTCGCTCGGCGATGGCCAGCCAGGCGCGTCCGAGAGCGCAGAGTGCCGAACTCGCCAGCCCGATCGCCAGTGTGTGTGCGTTGAAGCGCATCCTCTGGAATGCTTCCAAAAATGCACCTCGGCCACAGCCAGCCTTGGGAGCCCGAGTGGTGCCTCCTCGGCGCCGTGTTGAATTTCGTTGGAAAATAGTACGCGCCCACCCACGCGTCACGCCACCACCGCGTACAGCATCACGTGCCGCTCTTTCGCTCGCCTCTCCATCGGGCGTCAACACCATCGCCGATCCCCATCCCACCATCACACGCACACATATTCACAACACACACACACACACACACACACA